CTGCACTCCAGTCTGGGTGACCGAGTGAGACTCCAACTCAAAAATAAAATAAAATAAAATAAAATATTACTTTGGTAAGTGTGCTTTACCATTTGCTTTCTTTTTTACTCTCTTAACACACACACACACACACACACACACACACACACACACACACACACACACACAATCTTTTTGAACCGCTCGATACTAAATTGATCCTTTACCCCTAAACATTTCAGTGTGTAATAACTAAAAATGAGGAATAGATTTGATCACTATCAATGTTGAGAAAGATTGTCCACCAGGGCCAGGAGTGTCCCTGTACACCTTCGTGTACTCTGCCAAACTGCAAGGCCTCGCTGTCCTCTGACCCTGACCATTTCTGTAGCTAATGCACAGGCAATTAAGTAGGTACACGTGGCCACAGCTTTGACCACTGTGTGAACACTTGCTCCTGGGGGAGGTTTATTTATTGTTCCCACAGGTGCTGAGAGATTAAAGTCTGGGTTCCTTAACTGTGATACAACGTATTGTGTGTGTAGTCGCCATCTGGACTCATCACATCGCCTGGTATAATTTGGCAGTGGGGGAACTGACACTGTCATGCTAAAGTTTCTGCAGTTTGCTGTGCTGTGAGTAAGAAATTGTCTGAGTCTTTTTGTTTACTTCTGGCACCTATTGAGTTCCGGCAATGTAACCTGCTTGCTTGCATAGCCATCTCCTTTGGAGTCTTGTTAATTCTTGCTATCTTATAAGAGGGTGAGACTTTGCCCAGACAAAATGACATGAAGTGCAGAGTACCAAGACAGACAATAATCTGTGGAAAGAAAAAGGCAAAAACTCATAAACTGGGTTCCGGAACATTTGTAAACTTTCTGGATAGTAAAATATAAAAAAACTTCCGGTAGCAAATATTCCAGCCCAAGTATTGTGGAAGGAGGGCAGTGAGTAGTCCACCTCTGTCCTATCTGTTGATGAAGAAGAGTTGATGGAGGCCAAGAGGTGAGGGAGAAATTTGAGCAAGCTGCCGTGGCTGCTTCTTGCTGTCCTTTGGGACTAGGAGAGAACTCTTGGTCCTGTTAGAAAGGAAAGCACAACTGTATCAAGTTTTACGTTATAACCATATTAGTCCATTTTGCATTGTTATAAAGTAATATCTGAGGCTGGGTAATTTATAAAGAAAAGAGGTTCATTGGCTCACAGTTCTGCCTGGCTCCAGCATCTGCTAGGCTTTTGGTGAGGTTTCAAGAAGCTTCTATTCACAGTTAAAGGCAAAGGGAGAAGGCCTGTCACATGGCAGGAGAAGAAATAAGGTAGATGAGGGAGGTGGCACAAGGTTGTTTTAAACAATCAGTTCTAGAGCAAGAACTCACTCATTACTGTGAGAACAGCACCGAGCCATTCATGAGGGATCTACTCCCATGACCCAAGCATCTCCCACTAGGCCTTACTTCCAACACTGGGAATCATATGTCAACATAAGACTTGGAGGCCACAAGCATCCACACTATATCAAACTAGACATATCTAGAAGACAGTATGTCCCCACCAAGATAAAGACCTGTAAGGAGATAGAGCTCACCAAGATAAAGACCTGTAAGGAGAGGGAAAGAAAGGAAATCCAGGGATGCTTTGATAACAGACGGAAGAGCTGTGAGACACTGGGCTGCTGCGCTGGGGTGATGAAAGAGTTAGAAAGATTATGCTCTTAGAGGGTCAACAGCAGCACCAAGGTTGTCTCACACTTGACCTTATGCTTTAAAGTATTGTGCAAATTATTTCATGGGAACAGAATCATGCCCCACAATGAGGTTTGCTACTCTGGATTTCTGTTTCAGTAATGACATTACGGACAACACAAAAAGATATTCTTGAGGACAGTAAAGTCCCAATGAAATCCCATGGAGGAAGCTATTCAAAGCCTGAGGGCTAACAGTGCCCTAGACTCATTCTGTCCTGGACAAAATGACAGCCCCGATGATGACCCCTCACTGAGAGCAGAACCAATGAGTGTTTAAGATTGTTCTCTTCCCTGTAAGTGGAGGAATCCACTCCTTTCTTGCTAGGAGATCCTGCACTAGGAGCTGTGCTTATTTGGGGAAATTTGATGTTTAGGATAAGAACAGTCCTTTCTAAACCAGAAAAAGTCTCTGCAATATGAAACAAAGCCCGGGATAGGAAAAACCAACCCCTCCAAAGGGACCCAATCATAGGCAGTGTGGACATGCCTATTAAAACAGTTTTCCCCAACCCAGATACCCATTGAAAGTGGACGGGATAAAGAAAATGTGGTACATATACATGATGGAATATTATGCAGCCATGAAGAATAACAAAATTATAGACTTCATAGCAAAATGGATGGAGCTGGAGACCATAATACTAAGTAAACTATCACAGAAACAAAGAACTGAATACTACATGTTCTTCTGCACAAGTGGGCCTTGATCACTGGTCACACAAGCACAAGGATGGGATTGGCAAATGCGGGACTCTGCTAGGGGAGGGAAGGAGGAAGGAGGGAGGGGGCAAGTGGTAACACACTGGGTGCCTGGCCCACTGTTGGAGAAGAGAGGGCCAACTAGAAGCCCAAACTTCACCCGTGTGCAATTTATTTATTTAGTAAATCCTCACATGTACCCCACAATTCTAAAATAAAATTAAGAAAAAAATAAAACAGGTTTCCCAAATAAGAGTATGATAGGATGCTCACCAAAGAAACTCAAGGAGGCACACTGTCATTTACACAGGTGAAGCTCGACGTGCCTTTACAGGACCAGATTCCTTCATAGAGATCAATCCCCTTCTTATGGAGGAACTAGGCCAGGTGGCTGCTGCAGAGAAAATTGTTCCCACAGAACCTCTAGTGCTTGACTTTTCCCTTCTGTGTCCTGATTTAAAATCCTTTAAGGAGAAGGGACACTGGGGTGGACAAGGTAACGTCTCCTTATTCCCAAGATGGATCGAGGACTTACGCTTTATGGAAGAAAGAGTGGGAGAAGGGAAGAGAGGTAGAGGTGGGAACAATCACAAACTTTTATGTCTCTTTTCAATATACAGGATTTAATGGTTAAGTACTTGGTTCTCTTGAGGGTAAGGACCACATATTTAATTAGTCAGATTTGAAACAGGGTAAAATGGGAAAAGGTGGGATTGTTTAGACCTCTGTTATATACTGCTCTTTCTGCTCCCAAGGCTGAATGTGTGATTGGTATTGACAATTTATATGCAATTCCTGTGAATGTTCATGATGTCCAAAGGAGATTTTCCTGGAAGAGAAAATGGTAGAGAGGTGATACTGGGATGATGCATATGCAAGTGGCCACAACTTGGATTTTGGTTCTCTTCCATATTTAAATTTTTTTTTTTTTAGAATGCCAGGGAGAGAAAAGAAAACCACAGCCTCAGTCAAGGACTTAAATGAAATAGGTCTAAGGAAAAGTGTGATATCTCAGTATAACATCCCTGTGAGGCCAGTGAAAAATGTGAATGGGATCTGGAGACTTATGGCAGATGATCACCAGCTGAATTCAGTTGGCATTGTAGTCTTGGCTGCCCTGACACTGTGACTGTTAATGAATCAATTGCCTGTGATAGCACCTGGCATGCTATCTTGAACTTTGGTCATGTCTTTTTCTCAATCCCTTTCACACCCAAAGATTAAGCCTTTTTTTTTCTAGTTGAGTCTCCAAAACATGTTTAATGGGCTGCCATAGTACTATTTGAATTCTCCGGCTATTTGTCACCAGTGAGTGGATAGGTCAAAACACAGGATTAACCTCTCTCTTTTTCACTGGAGAGTTGGGCTTACTATATTGATGATGTTATACTGATAGGCTT